GTCTCGCCCTGCCTTGGTCTTGTCTGTCAGGAAGTGTAGTGTCACTGTCATCAATCTGCAGTCTGGTTTTATAATCGGTTATGGCCTGGATTCCCTGCCACTGTCGTGAACTCAGACGGGTTTGGGGTGTGGGTGTAACATCATGCAGGCAGGGAACAGAGATGGATGACCTACTGGTGGCTTCACGGGGCAACGGAAGGGTTTATTCAATTAACAACAAAAAAACACAAGAAAATAATAACAAAAACAAAGAATCTCAAGGGGTCAAAACTAAATGGGGAATAAACAAAGATTAATTACAGAAACAGTGGCCTGTACTACGAAGCGGGGTTACTGGCTTATCGGGGTAACTTGTCGGATTTAAGGTAGCACAGTTTAAATGGACCTCATATTCGTTCGCTTACATTTTGCCCAGACTACCTTAAATCCGACAAGTTACCCTGATAAGGCTGTAACCCCGCTTCGTAGTACAGGCCACAGGGCAGGTTAGACATCTAACATCCAATAATCACAATCAACGAACCACTGGGGAAGTGAACAGAGGCAGAGACTTAAATACTAAGGGGAAATGAGACTAACAAGGGTTAGGAAAACAGGCCTCAGACGAAACTAATAATTAATCAGAAACTGAAACAGGGAAACTAGGAACTGACAAAGAAATAAGGAAAACAAAATCTAACATGGGGGGAATAAGAAAGACAGGTAAAAGACGATCACAAAGCAAGAAACCAAAACAGAAAAGCACAAAATCACAGTAACAGAAAATCTGATGAAACCAATGAAACAGTGAACAATACAAAAACAGAGGGGGTGGGATTGGATCACAAGACAGAGGAGTTCATAGACAACCGTGTGGCCGTCAGGGATCAAGGGAAAACACAAAGACTGACGACAGGAGCTGACCCTGACAGCCACAACCGCCTGCTGTCTCTGGTGTTCATGAAGTAGCCACTGATTTCTTCAGCATGGACCCATTTAGCCGTTCTGATCCTCGCGATAAATCAGCCCTTAATGAGTGGAGAGCAACCTGCCGAACAGCGAATGGAGGGCGAGCTGAGAAGACGAGGGCTGTGGGCGGGGCTGAACCTGAACATGAAGACTAACAGCGGCATGTAACAAAGGCTTCTCATAGCTATACATGGTAACAAGTATTAACAAGCTTTTGACAGTCACATCAGCACATTTGGCAGCGTATCCGGTCACTGTCTCCTGGATT